GCTGACAGGTCTGGAGAGGCCTCTTTGCAAGACCTGAAGGAGGTAGAAGGTGGCCTGAGAAAGCAAGAGGAGGGAGCCGCAGCCTCCCTCGGTGATGTGCCTCTCCATTAGGAATGGAGCGCATGGTTCCCTCTGGAAAGGAGCCATCCCCCTCTCAGCTTCAGCTCATTAGCAGGACAAGCAGCAACTTTCTGGGCTCAGGATTCCATCCCAGGGTTGCCAGGCCACTGACTGACAGCTCAGGACCTTCCCGATTGGTCCCTCACTGACACGGAACTCAGGGAATGACAATCTGTCTGGCCCCCATCAGGGGGCCCGCCAAAAGAGGAGAACTTGAAGAACTGGCGGACTTCCCACCTACAGACTCCTTCCAACTGTCAATGACAAAAGGGCCACTCTTTGGAGACCTTTCATTTCTTATAACTGTCTCAGCACGTACCCCAGCATGGCAGGGCAGAGTCTGGGCGTCGGTGATGACTCCCTGCCCCATCACCTCCCCAGCAGGCCTCTCAGCCTTTTAGGAGGAGCCTCAGTGGTCGCATTCTGTTTTCCGTGTGACAGCCTGGAAGATGTGTCATGGATGTGCCAGCAGGAAAAGAGCAGGCCCAGCACAGGCCCCTTCCTCCAGACCATACCCCTCACCATTCTCTACAACTCTGGGTGCCAAGGTGGGTCCCCACTGGAGACTAGCAGGACAGTGGAGTACATCAAGTCATGCTCCTCAGAGGGAATGCAGGGAGTATCATCAGGTCTCTACAAGATGGCGGCTGAACAGACGGACTTGTTCTGACCCTGGTCCCAGAACAGATAGAAGCAGCGTCTGAGTCGCTCAGGGAATATCAATTGGCAGCTAAGGGGGTAGCAGAACTCTAAAGGAAGGTAAGGAAGGGTCCGCTGGACAGGATTTCCTGAGCAAGCAGCCAGCACTGTGGCGGCGGAGACCTCTCCCGGAGCTATGGGCTCAGAGGGAAGGCTGTGCCATCTTACAGGAAAGGAGGATCTTCTCTGAGGCCTGGAAAACCCACAGCAGAGGAGACCATCAAGCAGCTGTGATGCCCCAATTGGCGCAAACACGTGGATTAAAGGGAGTTCTTCAATCACCCACGGAAAAGAGAAGGAATGCCACATAACCAGATATCCTGAAAAGAGAGACCATGGGGAGACAAGAAATAGCCCGCACATGAAAGAAAAGCAGGCATCACCAGAAAAGGAAGTAAACAAGTTAGAGGCAAGCAACCTACCAGAGCAAGAATTCAGAGTAATGATCATAGAATGGCTAAAAAGAATGGAAGAGAAATTTGACGATATGAATAAGAAACAAGAGGAAATGAAGAAGAACCAAGAGGAATTGAAGAAGAACCAAGAGGAAATGAAGATGAACCAAGAAGAAATGAAAAATGACATCGCTACTATGAAGAACTCAATAGAAAGCATCAAGAGTAGCCGAACCGGTTTGGCTCAGTGGATAGAGCGTCGGCCTGTGGACTGAAAGGTCCCAGGTTCGATTCCAGTCAAGGGCATGTACCTTGGTTGCGGGCACATCTCCAGTATGGGGTGTGCAAGAGGCAGCTGATCGATGTCTCTCTCATCGATGTTTCTAACTATCTCTCTCTCTTTTTTTCTCTGTAAAAAATCAATAAAAATATATCTTAAAAAAAGAAAGAAAAAAAAAAGTAGACTAAAAGAAGCAGAGGACTGCATCAGTGAGCTAGAAGACAAGATGGAAAAAAAATACCAATTAGAGCAGCTTCTGGGGAAAAAAAAATTAAAAAGCAGGAGGAGAGCCTAAGGGAACTTTGGGACAATACAAAACAAAACAATATTAAAATAATAGGGGTTCCAGAAGGAAAGGAAACTGAGGAAGACATGGAAAAAGTATTTCAAGAAATAATGACAGAAAACTTTCCTGAGATAGAGAAGAAAAAACCCACACAAATCCAAGATGCTCGCAGAGTCCCAAGCAAAATGGATCCCAGAAGACTAACGCCAAAGCACATTATAATTAAATTGGCAAACACCAATGACAAAGTAAGAATCTTAAAAGCAGTCAGAGAGAGACAGAAAGTTACATATAAAGGAACCCCCATCAGACTAGCAACTGATTTCTCAACAGAAACTCATCAGGTCAGAAGGGAATGGGATAAAATATACAAAGTCATGCAAAGGAAGGGTCTGAATCCAAGAATACTGTACCCAGCAAGGCTATCAATCAAAATTGAAGGTGTAATCAGGAGCTTCACAGACAGAGGGAATGCAAGGAGCTCCCATTGGGCCAAAGCACCTTCCTCTGGCTAGGCCACCAGGCTATGTACCCACAGTGAGCAGGGACCTCCAGCCAGGGCCTCACTGGGAGCAGCCCCTGTGTCTACAGAGAGAGTTTGAGGGGGAGAGGACCACCCCTCTTCCAGGGTGGCCCAGGGTGAATGGTGTAGGCCGAACCTGGGCCGGAGGGAGCTGGGCCCCTGGAGAACTTAACTGAAAGTTGGGCATGACCCCTGGACCTCCCAGTACTTCCATTCTCTTACATTTCCACCTGGCCAGGGTGCTGTCAACAGGGGGCTGTGCCCCTTCTGCAGGGAACAAAAGCAATAAGCATCACTGCCCACAGTTGGGACAGGGAAGAGAGCCCACAGCTGACTGGGATCAGTGCCATCAGCACAGGCCCAGGGGAATGGGAGTGCCATTTCAGGAGGGGGAGCTGGATGGGAAAGTGGGGGGAGGATGAGAGGTGTTGGGGGCAGGTCAAAGGGAACAAAAGCAAGCTCTAGAATTGCCCATCTCACAGCTGTGGGACTGATAGTCCTGGCTGATAGGGTCTCACAGCCTCACTGAGCCTTGGGTCTCATCTCTGGTTCACAAGTGAACACAGGCAGGTTCTACAGAGAAGCAGGACCGTAGGAGACACAAGCATATTTCATTTTATTGCACTTCAAGATGTTGTGTTTTTATGAACTGAAGGCAACCCCTTCCACCAGCAAAAAGGTTGACTCACTTTATTGCTGCGGCCTGGAACCGGACCTGCAATATCTCTAGGGCGTGTGTGTAGATAGGTATTGTGGGCACAGGCCGGGCAAGTCACTGCATTCCACAGAGTGTCTTCTTCCTCGGGGCAATCTCCTTTGCTCTGGAGGCCTTTTGACTGATTAAGTCAAAAGATAATCAAGGATAAGCTCTTTCCTTAAATTCAACTTGTTGTAGATTAAACCACATCTACAAGATACCTTCCCAGCAACACCTATATTAGTGTTTGCTTGAATCACCGGGACTGTCACCCAGCCAAGTTGGCACACAAAACTGACCATCAGCCGAAACCGGTTTGGCTCAATGGATAGAGCTTGGGGACTGAAGGGTCCCGGGTTCGATTCCCGTCAAGGGCATGTACCTTGGTTGCGGGCATATCCCCAGTAGGGGGTGTGCAAGAGGCAGCTGATCTATGACTCTCTCATCAATGTTTCTAACTCTCTATTTTTCTCCCTTCCTCTCTGTACAAAATCAATAAAATATATTTAAAAACAAAAAACAAAAAAAACTGACCATCAGTGGGGTGATCCTGGTGCTTGCTCACAGCTGCTGTGAGGAGGGAGTGGGGCCGTGCATAAAGCCCACAGCACAGATTTGGGTTTGAGGATCCTTGGCAAGGCTGCTCCATTGCTTGTCTGGAGCAGGCAGGTAGAGGGGCAGGAATGCATGCATGTGTTGGGGAGGCGGGGGGGGGGGGGGGGGGGCGGAGAAGGTTGGTAGGAAGTGTTTCAGACAAGGTGGCAGAATGGTTTGGGGCCTGCTTGTCTGTACCAGGCAGGGGGTTGGCCCAGAGAGGTGGAGATGGGCGGGCCCTGTGGATTCTGGGACCTGCCAGGCACAGTGTGCTATCTGTCCACCCAAACCCACCGCCAGGCAGCTGTCAAAGGAAATTTCCAGCCTAGCCTCACCCCTCCTTACGGCGTGGCCAGGGATGGGCTGAGAGTTTTCAGGGTTCTGGAAATTCCCGCCTGGCCCGCATGCTCTCAGCAGGGGCTGTGCGCCTTCGGCAGGGCCTTCTGTCTGAGTGTGGGCCAGCCAGGTCTTCGGGAAGAAGCTAAGCCTACAACTCACATGTGACAACTTTCATCTAATTTGGGCCAGTTTTCTGAAAGATTCACATCTATATATCACACACACATTATGTACAGTAAACACACAGGCATTTTCCTACTTGGGAATGGGGACCAGGATGGCACCACCTCACGGGCCACTGTGAGGCGCAGGCCAGGCAGTGAGAGGGCATGGTCTAAGTGCGCAGGAACTGTTGGCCATTCATCACAATATTTATTTAGAGCTGACTTGGAGCCTGCCCCGGACTGGGTGCTTTCCACATCTTATTCCAGTGTTTCATGAATAGATAGGGTTCTGAAACCTGGAGGCTATGGGAAGATGTGGTGAGCAGCCAGGAATAGAGTCCCTAACCTCTAAAATGACATGGAAAATTGTGTGTCCTGTGTTTGTTTTTTTTTTTTTTATATAGCGAAACTGCCCCTGGCTTTCAACCAACTTAAGAAGTCCGGTTTAGTTGGACACTTAGAATTATTTCAGTGCTGTTTTAGCTTAAAAGAGGATGAGTCTTCCCAACCTTGGGTAAAGCATCCTTTCCTCCCTCTTGTAATGAACTTTGCAAAAATGTCCTTGAATTCCTTCCAGTGTTGGACGCGATGTGAACAATAACAGGCCCCGGCAGACACCTTTGCCTCAAGGCGCCAAGATTCTGTAGTTGGCAAGGTAGAAGGTGGGGCTCAGGAATCTCCCTGGCCTTGACATCTCCCCCGGGGTGCGCGGGGCCCGCCGGCCTGCTGCGCCTTTAAGGTCCGCTGGGGGCGTGCTGTCGGCGGGACTGGAGGCCGGGCTGGGCGTCGCCGGCCGCGGGGAGCTCCGCTGTCCTCCTCCGGGCGCCCCTCCCGGGGCCACGCCCCTCACACATTGAATGGGCACCGGCCCGGCCCGGCGGGCGCATTGCCGCGGCCCCGGCCATGGGCAGCTTCCAGCTGGAAGACTTCGCGGCGGGCTGGATCGGAGGTGAGTCCGATGGGAGGGACACCCCCAAGAGGTGTGTGTGCTTTCGGGAGACCCCCGGGTCCGAGAGACAGAAAGAGGGGAGCCGGGCGCCGCGTGGGCCGAGTTTACACCCCGGGACGCACGGGGTACTCTCCGCGCGCGCCACCTGCCGCCGGGAGCGCCAGCTGCCCGCACTCGGGATCTTGAGCTCCCCACGGGCGGCCCGCGGGCCTCACCGAGGTTCACCTGGGCTCCCGAGTTGCCTCCAAGTTAGGGTCCGGGAGCTCGGTCCGGTAATGATTAAGCCGGCAGCCAATGGAGCGTCTCGGCGCGCGCACACCCTTTGGTGGCCCGGCCGGCACCTGAATTTGGGGACGTGGCTCGCAGGAACTTGTGGGTGAGGGTGGTGCTTGGCCTCTGGCCCTGCGCAAAAGGGGAAGCCCCACGGCGTGATCAGGAGGGTCCCAGGGGCTGCCCCTGCTGTAGGAAGCAGATAGTAGGAACCCTTCCCCTCTTCAGCTGCTGTCAGCTGTCAGAGCCCCCCTCCTGGCTCTATGGTCCCCGGTACCAGTACCGCTGCAGGAGCCGCTCTCTGCTGGGCCTGAGATGGGGTTGCTTGCTCAGGAGGTTCATCCATATCCTTCCCCATTCTTCTCTTCCCAATAGGTCTATCCCTCCATTTCTCAGATGTAAGTGGGAATGCGGGGTGGGGATGGGGGATGAGGGACTTACTGCAAAATATCTTCCTTGTAGTCCCTTCTAAGAGGACCATCTGCAAAGGGATGTGGCAAATGCAGCCCCTACCCAAAGATAAAATAAAATATTGAGGTGCTGAGGCAGAGGCTATGGTGTGTGTGTGTGGGGGGGGGGCACCAAGCATTCTAGGGGTGGAGGAGACTAGGAGATTTGAAAGAAACAGAGGGGGGAGGGAGGTGATCATGCCACAGGCCAGGTAGCATCCCAGGTCCTTGCCCTTCTGGCACCCTTTCCCGCCTAGCAGGCATCTACTCTGCCTCCCACTGATGGCTGCAGGACACCAGCTCTCACCAGCCTGAGCAGAGGTGGCTCCTTTCTCAATGGGCAGTGGACAGTTCTAAGCTGACCAGGTCTCTCCGGTTGGCTGAGACCCGTCCTTCCTCGGGACTGCACCTGGAGGCTCTCTGGACAACCCTTCAGCCACCCCAAGGGAACGCTTTCCCTCTGCTGCTTCCTTCGCAGCCAGACACCTTCGGCGGGGCTGCCCGTGGCTTGGGGTAGAAACCCCCTGGAGGCTAACACTGTCAGAGGAGCTCAAAGACTCTGATGACCTGGAGACCCTCCCCAGGGCACACAGCGAGTAGTGGAGTGCTCTTTATTCCATAAATGTCTGTATTTTGTTGATTATGGGAACCCCTTTGTTGATTATGGGAACCCCTGCTGGATTCAGGGTTCGGGTTCTGGAGAAGGGCCACATGCAAGTTAAAGAGAGACTAGAAGAAATTTAATTTGGGGATACGGGGGAGGCAGCGCAGGCGGGAGCCTACCTCTAGTGGGAGGCCTGCCCCTAGGTTCTGGCCTTGCTATCCCTTTTATTGAGACTCTGGGATACACCCATTACCTTTAAGCAAGTTTGGGATACACCCATAGCGTTTAGGCAGGTAATAAGCAGATTATCAGTAAGGATTTACTTGATTACAAGATGGGGAAGTTGCCTCAGTTACCATTGTCTCAATTAGATAGGGAGTGGTTGGCTCTGATTTTCAGAGCTTTAAGATTGACCAGCTTTTCTATTAGTGAGACAATGGTCGGTTTCTGGCAGTTGATATTAACTTTTTTTTTCCTTCCATGAAATGATGAGTGTAGTAACAGTGAATACTTAGTAGGTACCAGATGCTAAGTGTTCTGTGTATATTTTTTAAAACAACTTTAAGGTTATTTTACATATTATAAAGTTCATCAGTTTCAAGTATACAATTCAGTGATTAATAACTTCACCAAGTTGTGAGCCCATTATCATAAATTAATTTGGGAACTTTTTCATCCCATGTGAGATCCTTATGCCCATTTACAGTTAAACCCCATCCCCTCCTTTACCCTCTGGGAAACCACAAATCTACTTTCTGGCTCTATAAAATCTTTTCTGTTGTGGGGTCAAACCCTGGGTTCAAAATAAGACCACTGGAGGCTGATTAATTAATTTAAAAAAAAAGCAGGCAAGGATTTATTGAACTGGCCAGGACAGCCGTGAGAGCACCACATGCAGGTAGTCTCCACAGGACTGCACCAGGGGTAGGCAATTCCTTTTAAAGGTTTAAACCACAAGAATTTACCTTCTGTTCCTAAACCCTAAAGACTAGGGACAGTCACATCCTGCTGGACATTGGAATGTGGCCCTATCTTGCGATAGCGATAACACAGAAGCAGAGCTCAGTGGGTTAGTCTCTAAAGGTTACAGTTTCTATTCCTGAAGCTACTGAGTCAGTGGGAATCAATCTCCTGTGGTCCTGGTCCCAGGCAAGGAAAAATTGCCTTAGCCTCCAGGTCTCCACCTGGAAGCTGAGGTAAATATTCCGTGTTTAATCAGGCAGGAGACAGACTTAGCAGTGTTAAAATTCAAACAGCAGTTTTTACCAAAGTATGGTTGCCACTATATTTCATTTTCTGGACACTTTATATTAATGCAACCAAAAATATGTGGTCTCTTGTGTGTCTGTTGATGTATATTTCTTTATAATTCCAATTCCAACTAGAGGCCTGATGCACAAAAATTAATTCGTGCAAGAGTAGGCCTTCCTTCCCCTAGCTGCTGGCATAGCTTCCTTCTGGCACCCAGACCCAAGCTTCCCTCCTCTGGCACCCTGGACCTGGGCTGGCTTTCCTCAGGCCACCTGCAGGCACCCAGGACCCGGGATGGCTTCATCAGGAAGATGTCTGGAATGAGGTCGAAAGATGTCTGGTCTAATTATTATTTTTATAGATGCAGTAGCTACGGTAATTACATCCCCATTTTACGGATGAGGACACACAGAGAAATTCAGTGGCTTGCCCAAGGCCAATGTATGGTGTGAGCGCTGGAATAACCTAGGCAGTCTGGCACCAGGGCCATTTCAACCCCTGTTCTTGTCCGTGCTGTTTTCTTTCTTAATGAGCTCGCATGATAAAATGTCACCATTACATCCTTCACATTTTGTTTGAAATTTTACTGGTCTGTGAAGTCCCAAGGCCTGGTAGTCTGACTTCTTATATTGGATCCCTACTTTCAGGTGGCAGGCTAAATGAACAGGGAGATGCTGGCCCAAGGCTGGATCTGGGGCTTCGTCCTGAGCGATGCCTCTAGTGAAGGATGCACTCACTGGGATAGGGAGCAGCTGGACCCCGAGGACCAGACTCTGTCCTTCCCTGCTGGGAAGCGTTCATGTGGAGTGAATATACCAGCTCCCAGCCGCCCATCAGCTTTTTGTCTCTGCCCAGTTCTGTGGGAAGCAGAGGCTGAGGGGTCAGGAGGTTCTAGACCAAGAGCTGGTTTCTTTCCCTATAATTATCTCATATTTCAGTACCCCTTTACCTATTTCACCTGGTGAGCAATTACACTTGCTAACAGAGAACACTTTTTTCCTCATCACTGTCATGGAGGATTTGTCTTAGAAAAACGGCTCCTGTTTCAATCTCATCTACATGACCTCAGGGTAACCTTCCCTCCAACATGGTTCCAGACTTGTGAATGTGTGGGAGTAGGCATTTTCCTGTGAAAAGACCCAGAGTATCCATCACCTTTTCAAAGAGGCCTTCTCTAAAAATAAAAATAAAAATAAAAATAAAATCAAGAGCAGCAGCATCTCTTTTTGAATGTCCTGGAAGTGCTAGGCTCTCTGCTGGTGCTTACATTCATAACCTCTTTTTGCTCTTACACTGGGACTGTGAAGTAGGTGCTGATATTATTCCAACCTACACAGCTTAAGTTTAAGTAACTGAAAAGTCTCTGGGTTTTCTCTTCACATCCTCCCCCTTTATTGAGATGAATTTACATAAAATTAGCCATTTTACAGTGTGCGATTCAGCGGCATCTAGTACATTCACAGTGCTGTGTTACCAGCCCCTCTGTCTAGTTCCAGAGCATTTCCTCATGCCCAAAGAAGTCCCTGGACCCTTGCTGACACTCCCAGTTCCCCTCCCTCAAGCCCTGGCAATTGCCAATCTGCTTTCTGTCTCTATGGACTTACTGTTCTGGATAATTCATATAAATGGAATCAGTCTGGCCTCTTTCATTTTCATAATGTTTTCAACATTCATCCACACTGTGACCTGTATCAGCTCTTCATTCCCAGTTATAGCTAACAACACTCCATTGTATGGATAGACCACATTTTGTTTATCCATTCATCCAGTGATGGGCAGGTGGGCTGTTTCCACCTGCTGGCCATTGTGGATAGTGCTGCTATGAGCATGTGCGCACATGTGCTTGTTTGAGTGCCTGTTTTCATTTCTTTTGGATATTTACCTAGGTGTGGAATGGCTGGGTCATCTGGTAATTCAAGACTTTTTGAGGAACTGCCAAACTCCCACAGTGGCTGCACCATTTTATATTTCTTTTTTATATTTACTTAAGCTTTATTTTTTAAAATATATTTTTATTGATTTCAGAGAGGAAGGGAGAAGGAGAGAGAGATAAATACATCAATAATAAGAGAGAACTACCTATTGATCAGCTGCCTCCTGCATGTCCCCACTGAGGATCGAGCTCGTGACCTCCTAGTTTATAGGTCAACGCTCAACCATTGAGCCACGCAGGCCAGGCATGACCCATTTTATATTTCCAGCAGCAATGTGTGAGGGTCCTAATGTCTCCATATACTCAATGACACTTATTTCCCTCCTCTTTGGTTTAAATGGTAGCTATCTTAGTGGGTGTGGAAGGTGGTCTCGCTGTGGTTCTGATTTGCATTTCCCTAATGACTAAGGCTGTGGACCATCTTGTCTTGTGCTTGTTGGCCATTTGCATCTCTTCTTTAGAGAAATGTTTCTTCAAGTCCTTTGCTCATTTAAGGTGTAAGAGTTCTTTACATATTCTGGCTATAGGTTCTTATGAAACATGATTTGTAAATGTTTCCTTACATTCTGTAGGTTGATGTCATTTTCTTTTTTAAAAATATATATATATTATTGATTTTTACAGAGAGGAGGGGAAAGGGATAGAGAGTTAGAAACATCGATGAGAGAGAAACATCGATCAGCTGCCTCCTGCACATGCCCTACTGGGGATGTGCCCGCAAGCAAGGTACATGCCCTTGACCGGAATCGAACCTGGGACCCTTCAGTCTGAAGGCTGACGCTCTATCCACTGAGCAAAACCGGTTAGGGCTGATATCATTTTCTCAATAGTATCTTTTGATGTACAAAAGTTTAAAGTTTTCATGATGTTCAATTTATTTATTTATTTTTTTCATTGTTACTTGTGCCTTTGGTGTCATATCTAAGATCATGAAGATTTTTCCCTGTGTTTATTATGTGGCTTTTATAGTTTCAAAGTTTCCATTTAGGTTTTTGTTTTGAGTTAATTTTTTTTAATATGGTATAGTATTATAGTGTGTCTAACTTCATTCTTTTGCATGTAAATACCCAGCTATCCCAACACCTTCACCGCCCTTTGTCGGGGATGGGGAGAGTGCTCTTGTTTCTTAGGGCAGAACCAGGTTTTACTCCACTTTTTCTCTGCCTTCCTCCATGCCTTGGCCAGTGCCTCGCACATGGCGAGGCCTCTCCGGTGAGTGGGCATTGATAGGATAAATGAATGTAAGTGCCTGAGCCCGCTGTCCTATCCCAAGAGCCAGCAAGTGCAAGCGCAGGGCTGAGTGACAGGTCTTCTTCTTCAATCCACAGGTGCAGCCAGTGTCATTGTGGGCTACCCTCTGGACACGGTCAAGGTACGATGGCCCTGTTCACCATTACCTCTTGGGAAGGGCCTGGAGTGAGTCTGCCCGCCGTGTCTGGTCCCGTCTCTAGCCCACGGCAGGCTCTCTGTGCCAGTTCATGGGGTGTGGTGCCAGGAGGCCTGGTTTGGAATGGCTCTAGCCTCAGTGCTTGGCAGTGATTTTGTTTTGATGAACGTCTCCTTTCTGCCTTTCAGTTCCCATGAACTGTGGGCATGGGGGAAGGCACTGGCGAGTGTCCTATAAGCCCCTGGGAACCAAGGAACCAGGAAAGATTTCAGGTGTGACTTAGCCTCTGAGCCCCACGTGTAAGGCTGGGTTCTAGGTGATTAGGAATGGCACTGAGCTGGGGACACTTCATGGGGCGTACCTGGGAAAGACCGGTGTGGCCATTTGGCTAACACACCAGGTTTCTGACAGCAGCTGCGGGGCTGAAGCCAGGACAGGGAGGTCGGCACGTAGCCCTAGAGGCCTTGGGTGTCAGGGGAGGACTCTGGACCCGGGCTGGGAAGGGGAAGCCATTATAAGCTGAGGGAGCTCACATGGTGTGAGGACTCTGGAGCCAGCAGGGCCATCTGGCATGGGGTCACTCAGCCCCTAGGTCCCACAGATGGAGAAGCTGGCTCAGAAAGGGAAGGGCTGGCCCCAGGCCACAGAGCAAGGAGTGAGATACTACAAAGAAGCACTTGTTAAAAAATATTTATTTCAGAGAGGAAGAGAGAGAAACATTAATGATGAGAGAGAATCATTGATTAGCTGCCTCCTGCAAACTGCACACTGGGGATAGAGCCTGCAACCCAGGCATGTGCCCTGACTGGGACTCGAACCATGACCTCCTGGTTCATAGGTTGATGCTCAACCACTAGTAATGCCGGCCAGGCAGGAGCACTTTTATATATATATATATATATATATATATATATATATATATATATATATATATACAAAAGCCACATTTATTTGTTCATTCCTTGCATTTGAAGTACTCCTCAATGACATCCTGTGCCTGAGACTCTTTGCCGTAGTCCTCAACCGCAGCCAACCGCTGTATGGGGTTTCCCTCTCTGTCGACTTTACAGAGGCCACCATTCCTCTAGTTTCTTGTCCTCAACCTTAATTAGGGTGATTTGGTGATGTAACAGGCTCATCGCAGCTGGACACAGGTACACAAAGGTGGGCCTGGCGCTTGCCTAAGGCTCTGTCAGTTCCGCAAATTCTGCGTGTGTGTGTGTGTGTGTGTGTGTGTGTGTGTGTGTGTGTGTGGTGTTTCTCTTTTTTCCGCATCCCGCACCAAAAAATGACAGGTTCCTGAGTGGAGGAGCTGGGGATGAAGAAATTAGAGAAAGAAAGAGCCAAGAGGCAGAAATAGATTCATAATGCTGGGCGCTAGGTGGGCGCCATCTCTCTGATAGAGAGACAGTCACACTCCCCACAGACAACACAGCATATTTATTGGCTTCCAAAGGGTCAAAAGGAGTTTTGGGTGTGCCCAGATCCTATTCTTCAAGATCTGGGTAAGCTCCTCATTTTTTGGTACAAGATTTAGCATATCAAGATCTGGGTAAGTCAAGGTTCTATTTGTTCCTCATTCCAAGCACATGGATAAAGATAAGAAATCAGTACTGATAACAGGATTCTGTCAGTGCCCTCGGGCTCAGCTGATAAGCATTAAAAGAATGAGTGCCTGGCTCCCTATGTGTGCCAGGCCTTCGTGGGTGGATGAGGGCGGTCTTTAGTACCTCTTGCGGAGCAGTATTAATGTCCATCACCCCTCCAGCAGCCATGCCTGCCTCTGCCATGCCGGTAGGTTATGGGTAGAGCCGAATCTTGAACACACCCAAGCCTCTGCCTCAGTGTACTCCGTGGCGGCAGGGAAAGAGGAAGAGCATTGTTTGACTCCACTCCCACCCCTACCACCTGTTCCCGGTGGTGAGGAGGACCCAGAGGGAGCGTGGCCACTAACAGTGACATCCAGATCCAAATGCAGAGCTCCGCTTGGGTCACACACACAGAGGAGCCTCACAGGCCCTTCTCACAGGACAGCTGCCCCCTGCATTCCCCCCTCCCCTCCCTGTGTGGCAGTGGCCCCCTCCTAGGTCAGGGCCTGGGCTTGCTACCCCCCCTTTAAAAAAACATATATATATCTTATTAATTTTTTACAGAGAGGAAGAGAGAGAGATAGAGAGTTAGAAACATTGATGAGAGAGAAAGATTGATCAGCTGCCTCCCGCACACCCCCCTACTGGAGATGTGCCCGCAACCAAGGTACATGCCCCCAACCGGAATCGAACCTGGGACCTTTCAGTCCGCAGGCCAACACTCTATCCACTGAGCCAAACTGGTTCCAGCCTGCTCCCCTTTTGATGGGAGGTTAGTCTACTTGTCTTAAGTCGTGGAAGATATTTCTTGGCTCCTCGAGTTCCTTATATGGGCTCTGCATAAAGTGGCTGATGGGGCGCCGTGGGGATGGCAAGTCCTTGGTGTTGGACCAAGCTAGTGCAGGCCCTGCCCTGTGGGCCTTCCAGCCACACTCCTAATGCAGGTGCGCTCTGCATCTCCTGGGAGAGTGTCCTTCCCTTGCCCCAGGCTGGCCAGGAGCAGGTGGGCCTTGTTGGAGCCTCCATCCCCCCTTGCATAGGCATGTCTGGCACATGTCACCTGAAAAGGCTGGAGCTCTCCTCCTCTCTTCACTCTGTCCCCTGAGCATCTGGGGGGGAAGGGGGGACCCTTTCTGATTCGTAAAAGCCAGTCTCTGCTCAGCCTGAGAACCTCCCCGCTGGGTGCCACCTGGTGATGCCAGCTTACTGGCCAGCGTCTGGGTCCAGTCCGGGGTGGGGGCAGGTGTCCCAGGGCCATTTCGCCCCAAAACATCCTCCTCCTTTTCTCTGGCTGACATTTTCTCTAGATTCCCTTCCATTGACAAAGGTCTGGGCAGAGCTTCAGACTCAGAATAGCCTGAGTGTAGTCCAGCCTCCCCACCTCCTCTCCTGGGACCAGGGCACAGCACGTAACCTCCCTGAGCTTTGGTGTCCTCATCTGTGAAATGGGCAGAAAGCACAGAGGGTAAAGCAGTGAGTGGGCCATAGGCTGGCCCATGGGAGAGCCAAGCTAGGAGACTTACCTGGGTGCTGAGTTGGTCAAAGTCTCCTTGCCCCGCCTGCAGCTTCCTTGTCACCGCTGTTTGAGGACAGTGGGGCTGAGGTCAGGATGGCTCCTGGCACAGCGGATACATTTACTGTTTATGCTGATGCAGTGTGTACCAGGGCAAGGGAACCTGCAACTGAGGTACATGCCCTTGACCAGCAATTGAACCTGAGACCCTTTGGTCTGAGGGCTGATGTTGAGCAAAACTACTGAGCAAAACCGGCCAGGGCAGGAAGTATTGTAATGGGGAATTATAGGTCACACCTCTTAAAAGAAGTAGAACCCTCTGAGATTAGGAGAGGGAGCACCCTGGGCACTTTCACGAGCTTATTTGGACCCTCTGTGCCCTCATGAAGCCCCTGGGCATCACAACCAGCCCCATTCGAGGACACCAGGCCTTCCACAGTGCACAGGGGCCAGGAGCGAGGGCCCACTTGGCTCCAGGACAAGAGGGCAGAGGAGTGGCCCTGCCCCAGAGGAGCATGCAAACAAAACCCTAAGTGAACAGGCAAACAGATGACACCATGGCAACACTGAAGCTCAGACCAAAAAGAGGAGCAGCTGCTGGAGAAAGAGCCTTTCGGGGGAAGAACAGAGGTGGAAAGTTCTGGAGGCGGAAAGAACCGATGCTCCAGGGAAGTGATGTGCACAGTGGGGCGGAGGCAAGGGATGGAGGCAATAGCAGGGTGGGATGCGAGGCAGGTTTGGGCGCTCACCCAGGCTTGCTGGGTGCTGGCTAACCACATGGAACCCATTCTAAGTTGACAGGAGGCCCCTGGACAGCCATAGCAGCAATGACACAATCCATGAGAACGTCAGAGGTCAGTCTGACTGTGTCAGGAAGGGGGTGGGGGAAGCAGAGGCCATGGCAGGACCAGGCATCACCCCAGGGAGAGAGGAAGGGCTCTGGAGGTGAGAAGAGCTGGTCACTTCCCGGGTATATTGGGAGGGCAGAGTGATAGACAGAGCCACAGCACCAGTTAGCTTTTTGTACCCGAGGCAGGGGTCAGATGTCCCCCAACAAGCATCGTGTTTGCTCCACAAACTGACCTTTGTTCTTCCCCTGGACCAGGAGAAGGTCTGCATGGGACACCGAGAGGAGGACGGGGCCAGCCTGTCCAAGACCGAGCCCAGACCTCCCTCCTGCCGGGGTCACGGTGGGCAGGGCCTTCCTGCCGGGGGCCCCAGTGCTGGACGCTCAGCATCTCTCCCTGGCCTCACCCCCTTGCCTCTCTCTGCAGACTCGCCTGCAGGCTGGCGTGGGCTATGGGAACACCTTCAGCTGCATCCGCACGGTGTACAAGAAGGAGAGCGTAAGTGCCCCTTGGGCAGGCGGGTGCCTCCTTCAGAATGGGGTGAAGCCCACCCAGGCCCGACACACCCTCTGTCAACAGGACTTCACCTTGGGCGGAGGAGGCCCATCTGTTCCCACTCATCACAGTTAGCTCAGTTTTCCCTGATCAGCTCACCCCACCCAACCCTGCCACCTGGTGTGAGGCTGTGGGAGACAAAACCTGGTTTTGTGTGGCCGCCTGCAAGAAACAGGGTGACTTGTCAGGTTTTCAAAACCGAGTGAGTGGCTGGTACCATGTGCTCACAGGCTTCCTTTCCTCCAGCCGGAGCCAGGCGTCCCGCCATCATACGCCAGCCGCTGGCGTGCACCGCAGCTCGAGGCCTTTCTCCCCGTCTTTGCAAAGGGGAAAGCTTGAACAATGTTTTACAGAAGATGCGTCAGGTGCCCTTCTTGAGAATTATTGGATGCTTTAGGGAGGCTATCGAAGGCCTCTTTGGGGGAATTTACAATAAACTTTAAAATTTAAAGTTGATTTAAAGCAACGGCCAGGTATTAACCCCAAAGGTCAAGTCCCGGGCTTGTCTTGGAGTCACCAGAAACGTGGCCCCCTGGTTGACCAGTGTCCACGTGGGACGTGCCCTGGAGCTGGGGGGCCTCCACCCGCTTCTGGAGCCTCTCCCTAGACACACTTGGTCTGAGGAGAGGCTCCGGGTGCGGGCGGAGGCCCCCTTACCCACTAGGCCACACTTCTGCGTCTATCTCCCTGACCGGCTGCTCTAGAACTGGATGGGTCCTACCAGCCTGGTACTAGCTGTTCCAGGGCAATGCGCAATCCCGGGAAGCGGTTGTTGATTCTCCCAGTTGGCACACGTCCCCCACGTGTCTGCCAGCGGTGTCAGCTCCAGGGTTTCTGTGGGGACCATGGCTGTTCCTCTGAGACACAGCAGCTCGGGGCTCAGCAATGCCTGAGGTGACCTGAGGAAGAGGGGAAGCAGGTTGTGTGTGTGTGTGTGTGTGTGTGTGTGTGTGTGTGTGTGTGTGTGTATGTGTGTTGCACATGTGTGGGGTGTCTTATCTCTGGCACATAGGGTGCAGGCATGCGTTTGGGATTAGCAGGTCTGCCTGTGGCCTGGGTTTGTGCAACGGCTGCCAGGATTTTCGCCTTGGGTGTGGGGTGGGGCTCCGATGCGGCCTGACTCCTCCCAGGCTGTAGGATTTCCAGTGTCCGAGGAGCAGCCGTGCTGTTCTCCGAGCTCACAGTCTGTCTGAAGTACCTCTCTGCAGCCCCAGTGTCCTGACTATAGGTTTTCCTGGGGCTCTCTCCTTGAGCTGCTCTTCTGAGACACCCCTGCTCAGGGACACCCCAATGCAGGCTGGCCCAGGTGTCCCTGGGTACTGTGGGACCTCTTCTCAGCCCCTCCCCACAGCTTCGCAAATTATGGTTTAATTTGTCCATCCAGATTCACCCCTCCCCACTCCGCCCCCTGAACTCGGTGAAGCTTTCCTTCTTATTGTTGGCACGCGCGTGGCAAGTGCCCGGAGAAAGTTTTTTGTGGGAGTGGCAGATGAGGGTGAGTGTGATGCTTGGCAAGCCCACTTACCCATTAGTGCTCCACAGACCCTCTCGGACACAGCCCAAGATGACTGCCACTCCCTTCCTGTACCTCAGCATCCAGGGGCAGATACTGGGTACAGGCCCGGGACACACCCTCTGTCCCAAGACTTCACGCAGAAGCCCGTTTCTCCTCAGGGCAGGAATGTCCTCACCGCCCATCTCCTTTCACAACAGCATCCGCCTGTGTCTTCTTCACTGGCACCTGTCTTTTGTCTCCCCATCAGCCTGCAGGCTGCGTGCGGGAGGGCGGGTCTGTGCCGGGGACACTGGGGAGCTTGGCACCCCGCTGCGGTTCTCACGCTTCCTCTCCCCACAGGTGTTCGGCTTCTTCAAGGGCATGTCCTTCCCCCTGGCCAGCATCGCCGTGTACAACTCAGTGGTGTTTGGGGTCTTCAGTAACACGCAGAGGTTCCTCAGCCAGCACCGCAGCCGGGAGCCAGAGGCTGGCCCGCCCCGCAACCTGTCAGACCTGACCCTGGCCAGCATGGTGGCCGGCGTGGTGTCCGTCGGACTGGGCACGCCCGTGGACCTCATCAAGATCCGCCTGCAGATGCAAACACAGCCGTTTCGGGAAAGTAAGAGGCCAGGGAAGGGTCTGGTGTCTGGGAGGGGCCTCATGTGCCTGATTTGGGGTGCGGGGATAACACCCTTTCTATTGAGCGGGGCGTCTATGTGGTCATGTCATCATCCGTAATTATTATTTCTTTGCCTAGAGTAGAAACTCCTGTGGTTACGTATTTACCACATGCTGGGCACTGCGGAGAGCTCTGCTTGTGTTCTCTTAATTCGTCTGTCTGTGAGGCAGGTGCTGTTACCCTTTCCATTTACAGAGGAGAAAACCGAGGCTCCCAGAGGGCAAGGCACTAATTCAGACACACACCTAATCTCTGAGTGAGGACCAGCTAGGCAATTTGCAGCACCAGGTGAAAAAGGAAAATGTGGGATCCTTGCTCAAAATCATTAAGAATTGGAAAAGGGTAACAGCAGAGCAGTAAGCCAGGCATGGGCATAGGTCTCCAAGCCACGCCTGCCCACATACCTGGGAGCACGGCCGGGGGTCTTGCACCTGGACAGGCCCTCTGCACTCCACTCTGCTGTCAGAAAGGCAGCAGCTGACGCACGTGCATCAGATTGCGCACCTGGAGGCTGTAGGGAGTGGTGGCCCCACTTCCTGTCCGAGGGGGTGGCTAGATCCTGCTCCTGCGGACCATTGCCACGGGCCCAGGATCTTTTGGTTTTTTAAGAGAAAGCAGAAAGTTATTAGATAATTCAATTAAAAACAAAACCAAACACAACTTGACACCGCACAGCCCCAAGCACAGTGCAGGCGGGGGCTGGCTGCAAGTTGTAGTTGCTGCTCTGGGTCAGGCCCACTCTGCGTGGTGGCTGGGCTGAGATGGGCGTTTCCAGCAGCCTTGAACAGGGGATTGCTCATGGCTTGTGGCATTACCCCTGAATTGCCTGTGCACTTCCTGGGTGGTGACACTGAGCCATGGGAGACTACGCCCATGTGCCAAAGCCAAGTGCAGCTCAGGTCATCTGCTTGGCGGATTTGCAAATATAAAACCAATCGTCTAACTGAGGCCTGAATGTCCATTGGTGGTGACAAGAGGCTGCAAATGCAAACCGTGGACTATAGAGGGAGAAGATGCCCATCCTCCCAAATGCAATCCCTGGGTTATTTTTCTAAATTATATTTTAATTGATTTCAGAGAGGAAGGGAGAGGGAGAGAGAAATAGAAACATCAATGATAAGAGAGAAAAATTGATTGGCTGCCTCCTGCATACCCCTTCCTGGGAATAAAGCTGCAACCCAGGCATGTGCCCTGACCAGAAATTGAACCGTGACCTCCTGGTTTACAGGCTGACGCTCAACCACTGAGCCATACCAGCTGGATTACAATAACTGTTAATACACATTTCCTTTTTCCTTTTCTATATACATAGATTAAGTATTTTAGGAGATTATACTCATATTATCTAGATAGTTTCACATTCTGTTTTTAGCTCAACATTATAACATACTTTTGTTATTAAAATAGCATATAAATTATTTTGAAATAGAGGAATAATATTTTTAAAGCATGTGCAATATTCCTTCAAATAGATATGCAGGTGCAAACAAAGACACACACACAGACACACACAGACACACACACACACACTGAGAAGAATGATGCTGTGTGGTCATAATTCAGTTTCTGGATTTAGACTACTTGCCTCTAATCCTCCTCCATGTCAAGAAACTTTGGACGCCTCACCTAACATGGCTCAGCCTCAGGTTACTCATTTGCAAAGCAGGCATAAAAGCAGCTATTTTGCACCCGGGATGGAATGTTCTACACAAAGATCCTAACACACTGAAAAAATCAAAACCAGTGCTAGCTACGATTTAGTAAACTTATTGCTTAATGGCCATTCTAGTGACGAACATTTAGGTTGTTTACAGTTTTTCCTCTTCTAACAATAGTGATGTCATCAGCAAACTTTTTCATGAAGAATTGCCTTTATTTAGGATTACTTCCCTAAATGTGGGGGCTCTTTGATTCCTGAGAAGGTCAAAGGCTATGGTCCTTTTTAAGTTCTGTGGTCCATGTGAAACTGATACACAGAAGGGCTTTGCCAGCTTACATTAGAGTTGCTGGAGGTCAGAGAGAGTTTCCATTGGCACCGCCTGCCATTGCATCCAGAACAGCAGTACCCTCCTACACTCTTCCTCCTGGGCCTCTGCCACTTGGCAAACAAGGAAGAGCTGGCCTGAGTTCAGTAGGACGTGGCCTTGACAGCAGGCACCTGTAAAGGGTCCCTCCCTTTTAGAGTCATCATTACCCTTTGCACAGGCATGAGCCTGGAGGCCGTGGCCAACAGCACTCACCCCTCCCCCATCTGGTCTGTTTTTTTCAGTAAAAGCCTAATCAATATGCAGACCAGAAAGCTCTCCATATCACCAGAGGGCAGAGTTTGGGGGGTTGGAGGAGGCCTGGGCATTAACTCTGTGCTGACCATCCTAGTGACTTCCCTGGGTCCAGCAGGAGGCACGGGACTGACCACCATGCCTGTTTGAGTTCACTCTGACTCCTTCATTCACAAGCATTTCCAGATCCCTGCTCTGAGCCAAACACAGCAGGTACATCAGAGGCCTCAGGCCACTGCCCCTTTGTGATGCACAGTCTGGTGGAAAGTCAGATGTACAGAATGAGCAGGGCACGTCGAAGGCTCTAGAACCTTGGAGCCTGGCACTGTGGATCAGGAGGCTCCGGAGAGGAAGTGGCTGTTGACCGGGTCTTTGAATATTGGCTGGGCTTTAGAGATGGGGCATGGACACGGAGAGGCGTTTCAGCCTGAGGCACAGGTAGGGAAAGAGTCGGTGGCAGCAAAGGCAGGTCGTGGGCGCCTTGGTTAGTGCAGATGTGCAGTGCAAGGCGGGGAAGATGCGGGTGAGTTGTGGACGGGTGTGGCTTTCTTAGCTGAGGATGGGCATCGATGATGTAGATCCAGCAGGCCACGCAGGAGAGAAGGAATTGTCAAAAATGGCCCGGATTTCAAAGTTGGGTGACTGTTGAGTGGAACCTTCCGCATTGGGAATTAAATGGCAAATGACGTGTGTGAGACAGTGCTTGGCATAGAGGAGGTGATCAATACGTGCTTATCACCGCTGCTTGGGAACTGGCTGCAGGCAGGTTTGAGGGAGGGCGTGATGGGTTTGGCTTGGCTCCCGTGCGAGGTGCCCGTGGGACCGCAACTGGCATGTCAGACATAGAAGTGATAGGCGCAGTCATGACATCAGGTACCAATGTCAAGGTGAGCTGCAAAAAAAGCAGAGGGTGGACATCCATGAGAAAATAGTAAAAAAAAAAAAAAAAAAAAAAAAAAAATTGGGAAGGAGCAGAAAGCTATAAGGACACTAACAGCCGGAGTTAACAATTCTTGAGCCCATACAATGTGCATCATCGCACTAACGCACCTACAGTGATTAAATCATCACAGCCGTGAATAGGCACTGTCATTCTTTTTATTTACAGGCGGGGAAACTGAGGCTCAGACAAGGTGGCCTGCCTGCTCACCCAGTTGTTTCAGGTGGGCCAGGGCACTGCCCAGGCCATCCAGCTCCACAGCAAGGGAAGCAGAGGCCCCAGAGACTCCTGTCCACCATGCCGGGCAGCACAGAGAAGGGAGGATTGCTGGGGTAGGGGTGACTCTGGCACAGAGACCGAGAGGTGGAAAAGGAAGAAGGCTTTCTTTCCAAGTTGGGAGAGGACAAGGAAAGAGACATCTCAGAGAGAACTCTGAGGGCAAGGGGAAGGAGGGGAAGTTACTCGCCTCTACCATGTTCAAGGTAATGTGCACAGAACAAAGTGGGCAGCGTGTGGCCAGGACTGGAGGAGGAAAGGGTCCTGGTCTCCGGGCGTGTCAGAGGAGACCAGCTGGGCTGCAGAGTCAGAGCAGAGAGGCCGGTGCGGAGGTGAATCTGTGTGAGGTCTCACACTGCACCCCAGACCACAAGCCTGTTTGAGCCCAGGAATGTGCATGCTGACCACTGGGGTGAAAGCACTTCTCCCATTTCCCTGAATCTTCAGCAGCGTCTGTCTGGGAAGATCACCAGCTGTGCTTCAGGGCCCTCCATACATCAGTTTTATTGCTACTGTAAAGACGTGTGGCTGCCAAGAAAAAGAGGCTGGCCTTGGGAGGAGCAGCCTCTGATACCTCGAGTTTCCCAATACTTGGCTAGTGCAGGGCAGGACTTAACTGCAGCTAACTCTCCTGAAGGGAAGCCTGTGTGGGACAGCAGGGACCCTCGGAGCACGACAAGGGGCACAAAAAGTGGGGACAAGCCAGGACCACACAGCCTAAGCCGCCTCCTCACGCAGGCTCTGGCTGCTACTAGGAAGTGAGGGCGGGAGCAATGGCAGCCCAGGAGTGGACGGAGGGTGATTGTGGACAGGCCATGCCTTTAGCCACGTCATTGCAGAGGAGGCCTTGAATTCTGGTCAGCTTGATTGAGTCTTTTTCACACTGTGGCCCCACAAAGCTATCAGAGATTAACAAAGGTGCACGCCACAGAACACACCATTGTGAAGTAACGTGCTGGTGACACACCTATTTGTTCTTTGAATCAATTGACAAGAGCCAGTATTGTCCTGATTTCTGAACTTGACATTAGTGTTGGTAGTTCTTGGCCCCGTGTGGGGATTCACAACCTCTCCTGGCAGCCTTGGCAGCAGGCCACAGCTGCCTCAGGTTGGCAGGTCCAGCACTTCCGGAATCCGGGGTCACAGCAGGACAGGGTCATAAAATTAGGAATGATAGCTATTTGCCTGGAGGAAAGCACATTTGCACAACATGCGTTTTAGTAAAGTACCTTTGCCAGCATTTGCCCTTAGTTTTCACAAAAACCAAATGAAGAGGACAGGCCACTTATTCCTCCTCTGTTATAGATGCTGTGTGGATGAGTTCTTTGCACCAGGTTGTACAGTGAATGGCACTGAGTCACAAAGCAAATCCCGAGGCTCCTAATTCAGGTTTCTTTCCACCAAACTGTCTGCATACTGTGGACCCTTCAGAGCATGGGGAAACT